GTCCAAGGAATGAGCATTGAGGCATGCCAATGTTAAGAGGTTAGTGCATGAACTGTTTCACAACTCTATTTACCAAGGAAACTAAAGGCAAGGTTTTAGACTGGGCTCCCTGGCTGCAGCCTCTGAGATGGTGCATGCTCTGAAGATGCAGTACTCAGCTGCAGAACATTTACTTTGAGTTGCTCACAACAGATGCACTTGAAGGGAATGAGAAAGGCAGGTAGGACAGAGGAGTTGCTGAGCTGTTGTGATTGCAACTAACACCTCACTAGGTCTCAAAGGATGCTCTGGAACTGGGAGCATTTGAAATCATTCCAAAGTGAAGCAAGGGGCTAGGATTTTGTTTCTCTGCATCATCAGCCAGTCATTAGTCCAGGCTGTTCGCCTGTGAGAAGCATGGCAAGACTGTTCCCTGGACTAAAGGCAACGCCAGAGAGGGACACAGCTGTGAGCTATCAGCAGGCGCTATTAGCAGCAGTTGAAGTGTGATTACCCTGAAGACAAGAAGGGGTGTGGTCAGGGTGCTTCTGTATCCACAAGCATCTGCAAGCTGAAAATGCATTAAAAGGCTTGATGTTGCATTTAAGTTAATGCAAATGGATGGGGATAGCATCTTTCTACACCCTGGGAAAACACAGCTCTTTATTTGCTTTTATCAGATGGTCAACAGTTTCAGCTAGAGTAGACACATTAAATTACTTGAGAAAAGTGACTAGAGGGCTAGGCAAATTAGAAAGTATGCAAGAACTAATGCCATTGAAATATCTATAAGAGCTGGAGTCTTCCAGTTAGGGAGCTATGAAAAGAATACAGCTTGCATTCAGGCAGTAAGGAGAATGAGTAATTTTCTACTGCTTCCCCAGGAAGCATTTGGAAATGTGTTGAGGCTGTTTTGTCACCACAATGATGGGGAGAACTACAGAGTGAGGTATGGTTGTGCATAAGGAACTGTCCCAACCCAAATACTAAAATAACAACCCTACTGAGAAATACTGTGATTGAAAGAAGGTAGATGCCTACTCACCAGGGCATTTTTGAGAGGGAAAGGGTGCTATTAATAATTATGTAAAGCCAAGCATCAGTGGCTCACACCTGTAATCCTAGCTACGCAGAAAGCTGAAATCAGGAGGACTGTGGTTCGAGGCCTGCCTGGGCAAATAGTCTATGAGACCGCTACTCCACAATAACCAGAGCGAAATGTACTAGAGGTGTGTCTCAAGTGGTAGAGTACCTGCTTTGCAAGTATAAAGCCCTGAGTTCAAACCCCAGTCCCACCAAAAAAAATAAATAAATAAAATAATGATGTCCAAACAACAGGCTTACAACATGCCTACGATGTTTAATTCATTGTGGATAGGAATTGTACCAGCAACCTCAACAATTGTGATGGTAAATGATTTCAGTGCAGAGGTGCCCAAATGTTTACATGGCATGGCACACAGAGAAATTGACAAGTCATTGTAGGACATCCTTGGTTAGCTACAGGAAGCTGAAGATAACAGGCCTCATCTGGCCACTCTTAACACTGAGACATTCCAAGACTTCAGCAGTCTTGGGACACATTAGGAGCACATTATTGAGAAGCCCTGCTTTACCAAGTAAGTCTTGAAAGTCTAGGAAATTTTAGGATGAAACTAAGGAATAATGGAATAAACCTAATCCTGGTTTTATTTTTTTGTTTGTTCAATTTTGTGGTGTTTGGAATGGAACCAGGACCTTGTGCATGCCAGGGAAGTGCTGTAACTACTAAGCTGCACCCCCAGTCCTGGTATAATGCTTTTATGGCTTTGATACTTTTATGTTGAATTTATATGTTGTATTTGCTTAAAGGCAATTTGGCAATTAGCAAATTGAAGAGATCAATCTTAGTTCTAAAGTGTGACATTTTACACACGTGACTTCAAACTGACTACTATAAGAAAATTGAACTTAGTTCATACAATATATGGTATTGGAACATATCAGAGACCTTGAAATTTACTATATAATTTGTTTAGATTTATGTGAGTTAGGTACTGGGGAGATTTTGTTGGTTGGATTTGAAAGTCTTCCTTGTCAGACTTTATTACAGGCTTGAAAATAAAGCACATTAAATGTATAAATGCAGTTTAAAACAAGAGAATTCAGACCGTTCACTGTGGATAAGTCTAGTCACAGAAAGAGACTGCTTTATACAAATCATCTGTATTTATGTGTGGAAAAATAAGATTTTAAATTGACCCTAAAGGTTTAAGGAAAATTAGATTTTAAAATGCACACTAAATGGAAAAACCTGACAGACACAGCCTTATCCAAGAGATCAAAGTAAACAGCACCCAAAACAGGGCAGTCCATCATTACATGCCTTCTGGTATGTGTTGAGACTACACCACTGCATGTGTAACGTTCCTGCCAAAAATGCATACCCCGAATCTAATTCTGGGAATGTATCAAACAAACCTAAATTAAGGCACATTCTGCAAAGTGACTTGTACTCTTAAAAATGTCAATGTCTTTGGAGGCAGGGGAAGGCAGAGAAACTGTTCCAGAACAAAAGACATTGAAGACATACAGCAACTAAATGTCATGGAATTGTGAATTAGATCCTAGATCATGGAAACATAAAAACAGTAAAAGATATTGGCACAATTGACATTTGAATATGGGCAATAGAGTAGATGATAGCTTTATGTATAATGTTAAATTTATTTTAATAATTAGTACTGTGGTTACGGAAGAGAATTCCTAATTCTTAGGAAATGTACAGGAAATATTTAAGTGTAAAGAGGCAGGATAACTGCAACTGATTTTCAAAATGACTCAGAAAATAAAACAAAATCTATCATCTATCCATCAAGAAAATCATGAAATCAATGAGGCAAATGTAAACAATTGGTTCATCTAGGTAAACAGGCTATGGGAATTCTTGCAATTTTTCTTAAGTTTGAATTATTTCCAAATAAAGTCACAGAGAGCTAAAAAGTTATCCTGAAAACATATGAAACACAGAAGTATGTATAAAACTTAGCTTCAAGTTACTGTACAGTCTTTTCTGTACACAAAGCCACTCCCAGACATCCCAAACTTCACTCACACAATAGGCATTATTTATTATGGAATGTCTGGCATATGGCCACTTACATATTGTCAGATAGTCCATGAGATGGCAGCACCCTTGAGTCTGAGGGGTGACTTGCTACTGTGGGAAAGAATTAGATTCATGTCCTTCCTTCACTTAATCTGAAGGCAAAACCTTTCCATGTGTGCCAGCATCTGCCTTTGTATTCATCCCACCATTAGAGCAATACAAATGCAGGGAAATCCCATTACAGCTCCACAGAACACATCCATTAGCCTTGGTACTTTCCCCAAATACACATTTTGCTTGCTGATGCACAATCTGTGCCAGCTTGATCCGTTTGAAATTTTAACTTTATTAATTCTATCCCCTCTAGCATGTGCCAAGTATGGAACGGAAAGGCAATTACCCTCCTCAGAGTCATCCACACAGTTGTTTCAGACAGTGAAGGTTTGAAGTCTTCAGTAATCAAGTGTCATCAAAACAGGCAGTGTGGTTATTTCAACAAAGGCAGGTCTGGTTACATAATGGCGTGAAGGATACATGGTTTATTTATTGAAATAGGCTGACAGTTATTCTTGGTAAATATGGACTTCAGGGCACTCTTTGAATACAGTAATCACCCAGGTGGGCATCAACACTCCACTCTCAAAATTTACTAAGTGGTTCCTATCAGAGGTGGCATACCCACTAACATCACTCTTGCACTCCATCATCTCTTATTTCTGAATCACTAGAATAGGTTGCCCCTAGTGGACTTTTATTACTCCTTTGCCCACAAGCATCTGACCCCTATTGTGGAACCATCCACCATGGTGAGCAAAGATAGTTGACATTGCTACTCATCTTTCTTACCTTCTTCACAGCTTGAGCAAAAAACAGAGCAGAGCAGGGTTGAGGAAGGGGGTCTCCTTCTGGTGGAGTCATGACTATGGCTGGGGAATCCTCTCCAGAACCAGTTCTGAGGCATTGTTTTAGGTGTCTCTCCTGCTCATTTACCCTGAGGTCTGGTACCCTTAACAATAATAGAGGTGATATGAAATTCTCTTGAGAAGCAAAGTGAAAACTGTAAACTGGTTTAACTCACATATTTGGTTATTACTAAAAACAAATGAAAACAACAAAACAATCACTATTGCTCAAGATTTATCTCCTAGGCTATGAATCCTTATCCTCTTTGAGCCAGCCATCTCACTTCTAGGAATGGATCCCACAGATGTATTTGTGTATAAGTGAAATGATGAAATGTGATATGCAATATTGCCATAGCAGAAGACTGAAAACAACCTACATAGTCCACCAAAAGGAGCTGGCTAAAATGCCATATAGATACATTGATTATACAAATATGAAAAAGAATGAGAAAGCATTTTATATACTGAAATGGAAAGATCTTCTGAATCTCCTCTTCAAGTTTAAAAAAGCAAGGTATGTACCTGGGTACAGACATTGTTATCTTCTGTAAAGTAAAGGGAAAAGGTATTTTTCCTTTATTTATAATTGCTCCTATGCAATTATATTAATAATTGTGTTTACTCCTAAGTCAGTAATGATGATTTAGGACCACCCTATGGTAGTTGGGAGACTTTTCACTGTTTGCTTTTCTAGCTTTTCATTCTTATTGATGATATATTTAAATAAGGTGGGTGTGATGATGACTGCCTATAGTCCCAGCTGCTTATGAGGCTAAAGCAGAAAGATCCCTTTTAAGCCCAAGAGTTTGAGGCCAGCATAGGAAACATAGTGAGATCCCATCTCAAAAGAAAAATAAATTTACAAATAGAAATTAGGGCTGGTGGTGTGGCTCAAGTGGTAGAGAGCCTGCCTAGCAAGCATGAAGCCCTGAGTTTCAAACCCCAGCAACACAAAGATAAAATAAAAATAGAAATTAAATAAGTATTTATAGTCCAGTCAACACTGTTTTTGTAACATAACTGCGTGCTTTATTGAGATACACAGTAAAGCAGTAATATAATACAATAGTAAGGCATATATTTGGTGAAGTCTGATATGTTGTGAAAATGCAGTAAAACTGAAGTTTAAAAAAATAATTAGTAAATGTTACAGTGTTGGTGTTAAAACACAATATATTATGATACTCAAGTAAGAACCCAGTACCTGAAAACAATGACATAACATGCCATGTGATGTTTATGCTTCAGTTACATTGATTATGACTTACAGTTTAATACTCAACAAAATAATGTCAAAATTATGCTTAAACCTCAGCAATAAAGCTCTCATTTTTATTCAAATATTTTGACAGGCTCACTCCAGAAATAATATCTAAAAGATAAAACAAAACAAAAGATTAAAACAAAATTATGCACTCTATCTACCTCTGATTTTAGAATGAAACTTAAAAACTTCTTAGTAGGATGTAAAGTAACCCCTTGTTTTAAATCTTGGTTAAAACAAATCTTTGAGTAAAGAAAAAGTCCAACACCACAGAAAAGGCAAAAATGCAAGACTAAAACCAAATCTCCATGTAATTTGTTACCTTAGAGCTTTGGGTTTTCTTTTGGAAATTATAAAGGAGAAAGAAAATTGAGAAAAATGTTCACACAATAGGCAAGTGGTGAAACTATGAAATCAGGTGTGCACAATTACCAGGAACACCCCAAAACCAAAGTGAGGTAGAAATAGCATGAGAAGCTGTGTTTGATGTTAATTATCATTAATAAAATGGACAAAACCCACTCTCCAAAAGTTAATTACACTCGATGTCAGAGGTAACAGATTTGCAAAATAATAACAAATGGTGATTTCTATTGAAAGAATGATTTTTTTCAAATGAAAGAGTGATAAAATGACATGAAAGAGTAAAGCTTTTTCCTAGCAGTCCTTAGCTTTTCCTCTTCATTTTTTCTCTTTTGAATAGTTAATGTTTGTTTATATATTTAACACGCCCAATTCACTAAAAGGGGTTGGAGAAGCTTTTGCTTTTGGAACATTTGAGTTGATTTTCCCTCCCCCTTACAATCCTGTATTTCAGAATTACTTGCAGAGAAATGTAAAGGAGGCAAACACAGTTCTAGACTGATATTTATCAGTGTCACAATGGGATGGGGCTACTGTCTTACACATTTTCCTAAGGGTTATTTTAAACTAAGTCTGCAGCATTTAAAAACTCATCACAATGGGAAAAAAATCTAAAAAACAACAATAACAACAAAACCACCCACTTCAGTTTGACTGTGAGAACAGGGCAGAATAATCTAGTTGTAATTATAGATATATGTATGTATAGTTATGAACATTCACCCAAATCTCTGCTTCAAGAGCAGCCTGCTCCCTCACAGGGATCAGCTGGGAAATCTATAGTCCTCCAACTGCCTGGGAGTTAAAAAGACCTTCTGATGCTCTTTCATAGAAGCATCATTAAATCTAAATCATGGCATAGCCAGCAGCAGAAAGCTGAATATGTCAACTGACAGATTACTCTGATATAATAAGTCCTGTGTATTCATTCATATGTTCCTTTAAAAAAATTCAATACTGTAGTTGTCAGTGGAAAGTTTAAAATGAGAAACATCTGGAGCCCTAGACAATGTTTCCTCCTGGTTTCAGGCTCCAGTAAAAATTCATTCTTACCCAAGCAGGTAAGCTTGGATGACCAGAAGCAATTTTTTCCCATTAAGAAGTGGCAGGAACATTTGAAGAAATTTAAAAGTCTGTAGGAATTCATATTTATCTATACACCCATAGTATTTATATACTTACAGACATATAGATGTATAAAATGAAAGCCTATCACCAGCCCCACTCAGTCAGCAATTCCCAAAAGACCAACATGAAGTAGTCATTTGGTGGTGTTAGAGGAAGTCCTATCTTTAATATGCAAGAAAAAAAAGCCATGAATTTCATATGAATATCACGCTGAAACGATGCAAAACAATGCGCTGCCTCAGTTTGTGTTTGTGTGTGTGTGTGTGCTGTGTGTGTATGTTTTTAGGGGGTTTTATAAACAACTTTTTTTATAAAGCACACTTTAGTTTACAATCTTTCTTTATAACTGTTATAAATTTTTAAACAACCCAAAATGCGTTCCATATAAAGAAATGGCAAGTTATTTAGCTATCAAGATTTTACATGTAGTTTTCTTATAACTTTTTTGTACAATTGCATAGACGTGTAAAACCTGCCATTGTTAACAAAACAATAACAGACTTAGAAACTACTGAAATCTACAATATAGTACCACTACCCTTCACAAAAATATAGATTTTATTTCTTGTAAACTCTTACTGTCTAATCCTCTTTGTTGTATGAATATTATAAAAACCATGCGGGAATCAGGAATTGTAAAACAATTTATTCTGCCCCTTCTTCATCCGTCATGACTGAAACTAAGGACTCCATCGCTCTGCCCAAATCATCTGCCATGTGGAACAGGCTTCCTACATTGGGTCCTGGAAAACAAAGAGAAAGAAAGACTTTACAAAAGGTGCAGGTTATCATCACCCTGGTTCTTTGCCATGTTCAAAACCATTTCCCATTTTGGGGTGAAGACAACACAGAAGCTGCATTGAAGGTATTCACACAGGGTTTGATTTTCACCAGTTTCCAGGAGAAGCAAAGCCTTGTTAATGAAGCATTTCACGTTGTTAGTAGCAGCTCAATATTGGATCAGGATACTGGTGTCTTTTAAATGAGAAAATGTCAAAGGCTGCAGTCATTTTCCCAATGTATCACGTATTGAAAGAATTCCACTGGGAAACACAAGGGTCCAACCTAACAAAAAGATTTCATGATTGGATACTTCTTTCCCGAATTGCTCTATTTACTGTCTACTTGTACTAACATGCTGTTCTATCAAACCACTACCACCACCCTACAACCATCACCTTTATCATCATGGTTACCATCACCACCACCACATGAAATCTTAATTTCCAGGCCGTTTCAAGCTGTGATGGGTAGTGGTACTATGACGGAAGTGACAATTTTATCCCCACTTTTACTATGACCTTTTTCTACAGTTCACAGATTTGAATTAGGAAGCTTGAGAATAAAAATCACTTTGCATTCCAAAATGTGACCCACATTATTGCAGAGATTTGGGGATCCTGTGACTCCATCTTAATTCTCCTAAATGCGGGTAACTATCAGAACAGCCTTTTAATAATAATGTGGCATGTCCTAGCATTAATCCTGCAGTATGGAACACAAGAACAGCCCAATGTTCCTGGGTACTTTGTAGCATAACTCAGATCTAGATTAAGATAATCTGAGATACAGTTTATGACTTTCCTTTTCATATAGGTCCCTTATTTTCATAGAATTTTAATTCTTGGGCATTGGTAAATCATTCCACTCTTCAAATACTGCTTTTGGAACTGAAATGCTTTACAAGGCTATTACTACCTTGCCATATAATAAGCATTACATATTCTCATAATAGTTGTTCGAAAATCCCAATAAAAATCAAGGACAGACTAGAGCAGGTATTCTGTTCTATTATTTATTTCAAGAGACATATCTTTAAAAAAAGAGGATTGGCGAGGATTCACAGGCAGGCACTTAAACAGTGATGGTACCAGACCAATTTAAGACTTATTAAAAGCTTAATGCCATTCAGGCACTTATATTAAGGTGACCACAGTTGTAAATCTTTTTGAACTTTATTAGTGCAAAGAGTTTCAGTGAAAGCTAATTATGTTTTTTAAAAAATCACTTTGAATTTTGGTTGAGATTGCAAATATAAAAACTTTTAACAAAGCAAATGTACCATTCATAAAATGGACCAAAAGTTTGGCAGCCCTCAACGAAGAACTGAAATCATCATTGGCTTTTCTACACTGTAAAACACAGTGAGACTCTGAGTCAAAAACAACAAAAAAACCCAAACACACACATGCACAGGGAGACACAATGGGTCCTTTCCTGCTTCTTAGAGCTCAGAGTACAAGAAGCCACCATGTTGGAGAGCCTCCTCTGTAACTATTTTTACAGTTGATCTTAGCCAAAAGGCTAAGAGGCATTCCATTTTCGACTGCACAGTAACCCTGGGAAATCTGCAAAATTACTCATGTATAATTGAAAATGGATGGACTAACTGCAAATTCTGAATTGCTAGCAATTTTAACAGCTATTACCAAAGCCAGTAAAAACAAAATGTTTACCCTTACAACCTGGTATCTGAACATATAATTCAAACTATTTCTCATGACCCACATCAGAATATAGGATAATCCACTTGATAGTTAGAAAATGTATTATAAAACATAAATAAAAGAGGGAAGAAATCAAGTTTTTCCTGTCTGTTGTTTGATAATCAACAAGTGTCTATTTAGACTGAGGGTTAGGGGATATGGAAAGCAGTTCAAAAGATAATAAAATAAGAAAATGCATTTAAAGATTATATATCCAAGTGGTGCTTCTATTTCTTGAAATGGTGTTCAGTTTCCTACCCAGAAGGAAAAATTCAAGAATATCTCAAGAAGTGTAAGTTCTAGGGATATCTACTATTTAAAAATTTGCCAGGGAAAATAAAGGTTCATCATTCTTAAACATACCACATATACTTCCACAAAATGTTAGGTGCCTTTAACCTATTTAAAATTGTTCAATGTTCACAAAAAAACTTCACGACCATTCTTATACTACAAAAATGAAGAAATTTTAGAATTACCTCACTGTATCTACATGATGCCTTTGGTTACCTCATTTATAAATACTTATTTTATCAGAATAATGCTTTTGGTTTTTTTCATGGAGGCTTTCATTAGACTGAGAAAAAAACAATTCTCTCTTACAAAATACTGCCCCAAAGAATTATACCTTGACCCCACTGACAGGGTAAAACTACTTTGACATGGACACAGAAAATAGATTTGTATCATGGTTCTATTATCCATGTGTGTGAGGCAGAATGTTAGTGAGGTCATTAATTTTACCTGACAGAATCTTCTAAAGTCAAAATTAAAATCTCGTACTACAAATGCAAGAAGCACTAAAAAGCAGCCAGGATTCAGACATTTGCAATCAGCTTCAGGCACAAGTTGACACAAAAATATGTCTATAGAAAGTATTAATTTAATCCATTCTTAAGCAAGGATTATTGAACACAAAGGCACCATGTATTGAACATTAGGGAAGTTTTATGTTTTTCCAAGTTGGCACTCACTGTAACACATATAGTCTCATACGACACCACTGCCTAAGGGAGTTGTTTTCCACAGTGATTGGAATTGAGACTTTCTGGCAAAGATCCAAGACCTCAATAGCAATCTGGCACTCTATTTTTTAAAAAACTACAATTCCCAAATAAATGGTTAGCATTCATTTGTCTAAACCAAATCCAGAATGCTGCAGTGAAATGTGCTTGCCTTTTCTTCTCTGTAATTTAATCTCTGAAAAAATATCTGGTCTAGTATACATTTAGGGTATTTTCATAGCATTAAACAAGTTATTATTGTTTTGATTCTCTGGCTTCTGGAAACTTATCCGACTATAATATACTTCAGATAGTAGTCTCTGATTCAGTTACATGTACTAGCCTTTTAAAACGTTTGTCCATGAATGAAACATGTTTGGGAACTCAAAATCATGATGGGATTTTTTACAAAAAGTTAAAAAAAATTTTAAGGGGCACTTACCATAAGAATGAACCCAAGAGGTCTCACAGATGAAGTACATAAGCCAGGAACATTCAATGCATAACTCATTCAAATTTCCTTAATTTCTCTTTCCAGCCTACCACTCCTTCCCTAGGATCCTACTGCCCAAAGCCTTGGAAGCGAGCATTAATGCAGACACAGAGGATAATTAAATTCATTAGACTTGTATGGTATGGCGCTGGCAGGATTTCTAGTATGACTCATGTTTAAATGAATCAGTAGCCACTCTAGTCTCTCCCTTACTAAGGATCCTAAATCTTCTCACGTAAGGACTCTCTACCTATCCAGCCATAGGCATTCCTTGGAAGAGCTTTCCTGAGTGTTCTTAAACTCTTGGTTAAGATAATCTTGTTTTACTTGGGTTGTTATTCAACACTTTGTCATCTGATAGTCACTTGATTAGGTAATTCAATGTTCATATAATATTCCCAGTAGAACAGGAGTAAGAAGCAGCCTTCGCTATAAAACCCCAAATCACATTCAGTGATAATGTTACACCCCACCCCTTTCAACCCATAAGGAGGCATAAGAAAACCCTCAAGACTCCAACATTCACTTTTTTAAACCTAGTTGGTTATTATTCTATTTGGCTCCAAATGCCAAAGGAAAAAAAGCATCTTCTAAAAGGCATGCTGAGAGGTCATAAGCCTTTCAACAATGGTTTCTGAAGTGGCAGTACAGCCTAAGGGTTAGAGTATGGCTCTGAAGCTAGGCTGCCTGGCTCCAATCCTGGTTCTGTTGCTCTGGACACACTGCTAGCCCTGTCCTTGACTCAGTTTTCTTATCTGTAAAATGGGGTTTAAGAAGTGTACCTACCTCATAGGTTTGTCATGAAAATTACATGAAAAAAATGGCAAGTGCTCAGAACAGTGCTTGGCACAAATACATGTTCAAAAATGGGAATGAAAGAGTGTAAGAATCAGGAAAAAGAAAACAAAAACAAAATGAAGTCATCCCAGAATAAAAACCATGTGCACTGGCAGAAAATGCTACGGTCCTGGAAGAGGAAGGAAGCTTTATGACTCATCAATTATGTTCAAGGCTAAATTTATTTTGAAGATTCTGTTTGTGTTGCAAATGGCAACAGATGATGAACTGCGGGATTCCAACCTAGGGACTAGAAAGGATTGCTATTTTAAAGAGATTCCTGCTCCCCCAACCCCTAATCCTGTTGTCATGGTGATGACACCAGCAATGAACATTTGAGGAACATTCTTCATGAGCTGCAAGTGGAGAGATGACTACCATCCTTATATGATGACACAATGTGTAATACACACATGCGCGTGCACACACACAATTCTTACACAAAGGCAAACACAGAAAGCAGGATGAAACAAGACAGAAGCCATGGCTGTAAGCCTGAGTCTCACTAACCTCTCTCATTGACTTTCCAGGGGTATTTCTTCCTTTAATAATAGGGAGAGGAAGAGGCAGAGATATCAGAAAGGAAAAAAAAACATTCATAAATATACAGTTTCATACCAATTTGCTTCTTTTATCAAACAGAGGTTGAGATAATAATTCATTTATTCCTTTCTGGAAAACAGAAACAAAAATCCCAAAAGACACATCTAGTCAAGTAGCCTTTACATACACTTAAAATCAGTGTGAACAGATAACACGACCCAGGAGACATCATTTATCATATCTATAGAGTTTATGCACTAAAATGGATGAAAACTGGCACAGAATGAAAATTTGACAAACTGAGCATTACTTTCAAGGGCAACTGTAGAATCTCAAACTTAATGTTCAATTGTCTTATAAAATCTCTTCACTTTTGACTGGATAATCAACATGTTGAAACATAAATTAGTTGACTGTGTGTCAAAAGTCTGTACCCAAATGCAAAGCAGAACCCCACACTGGAGATGGACTCTCTATTCTTGGGATAATGTGTTCTACTTAGTAGAAGTTAAGCATGCCCATGACAGAACTGGGCATGTGAGAAAACAGAAGAAAAGATGAGGGGAAGAAATAGGCTTCAAACCATTCTACTTTGGTAATGGGATACTTCCTAACACAATCCTATATGGAATTCCAGCATTTAGAGTAGATAAAAGCAGAGCTGTTAGTGGGACTGTATATTAGGTACGCCCCGTCCTGCTCCCATACACACACACTTGGCTCAGGGGCTCCAAGAAGACCAAAACTCCCTGAAACAATTTCAGAAGTGCTAGTCTAGAATGAAGAAGTATGGAGTTACAAAAGAAACCTTTCATTAACTTAAGTTTAAGGTTCCAAACTTGTAGGATACGTTTAAAGATTTTCTAAGTATAACTTTTCCACTCTTCCTTTTTTCTCTCTTCTTCTTTTCTTTAGAATTTTCCTAAAATACTCAAGAGATTTCTTAGGAATTAAAAAACTGAAGCTTGACCATGTAAGGATCATGCATTCGTGGTGTTCTTCAAATCAGGGGAAAGACAGAAAAATGTGTGCTGGCTCCTCTGAAGTGGGTGTTACCCATGGCAGACCCATGACCCACACCAGATGATATGAAAAGGGAGGAGAACATCATTTCAGCCTTGGTGGCTCAAATAAAAGCCCAGAGTAAATTACTCACCTTTTCCTTTGGCAAGATTTTTTTTTAAGTTTTTATACTTCATAGTTATACTGTTTGGTAGCAGAATTAATTCTCTTTCCCTACAAGACTGTGAGCTCTGTGAGGGCAGGGATCAAATGTTATTCAACCAACGTTTTATCCTCAATCTTTTGTACTTGCCTAGACACTATTGGTATTTGATAAATGCTGCATGAACTGAATTAGTAAGGGAGCAGCTAGGCCATGGTCAAGAGTCTTTTCTGTGCCATAAGCAACGTGGCTTGAGTGCTACCTTTTAGCTTAGATGCCAAGGGCTGGCAACTTGTTCTGGTTTGTAACTTCAATCTGTTTTTAAAACTTCCAAACTTAAGGAAGGACGCTGCTGTTAGAAAATGGTATGACTTACTTTCATAATGTAATTGTGATTTCTAGAATGATTAAGGTTGCCTATCTTTATTAATTCTAAACCAAGCTATATTCAGAGGTAACTATAAAATGGTTGCTGCTAAATACACTGCAGCAAACAATATGTGTTTTGTCCTAAGTACTTCTTCAGAAGCCATACTTTATGTAAAATGGACCTCCCAGAGTTATATTAACCCTAATCTCTTTCCAAATCCTCTCTTGTCAGTTGGGTCCAAATTTGCTTATTAACATAGTACAAAAAGAAGGTACTCTTTTCCTTAAAAAACAAACCTTAAATACAAATAATGTTTTCTATTGTATTAAGAAGAGTTCTACACTGACAAAAACAGAAGTTCCTTGGTTGCAACATTTTACAAAGTTCTAGGCTAATAAGTAAGTAAGTAAGTAAGTAAGTAAATAAATAAATAAATACAGTGCCAGATACAAGTCTTATTTCATAACTACATTCTTTAGAAATGAGTTTCCTTAGACCTACTTCAATTGGGATATCCATCTGGAAATGTGGTATGTTGCCAGGAAATGAATCAAGAGAAAAGGGAAGTGTGCTAGTACAGTCTGGAGTCTAAATAAAGAGCTTGGTCAAGTCTGGAGAAGTGTAGTTTCCTGAGGCAGCATTAACTTGAGATTACTGATTTGTAACTCCCTACTCAGAGTCAGAATTGCAGGACATGACTGTTTTCTGGGTGCCTTTAGCTTTCTTTAGTTCACTGATGGCTTAAAAAAGTTAAGAGAGAATGTATCCATTTGGGGAGTTCCTGTTTCATTACAAGTCAAAGATGATTTCAATGGCTACACTTTAAATACTGAACATCCAGACTCTTCAGTGAGCATGGATATAAATCTATCAATCAATTCAACAGGATAGTTTTGGTAGCCTTACAGCTGACCAACACTAAAGCCTATGGCTGCATATATGTAATGAGTAAGAATGGACACAAACTAATAGTGCAAAGAAGGAACTGGCAAATTTTTTCTGTAAAGTAGTAAATATTTTAGGGATTGTAAATCAGTCTCTGTAGCAACCATTCAACTCTGTCACAATTACTCTGTCCTTGTAATAAGAAAGTAACCTTGGACAATAGGTAAACAAATGGGTATGGCTATGTCCCAACCAAACTTTATTTCTACGAATAGGTGGAGGGCAAACTTGGCCAATTGTTGTAGTTTGCTGGTCCCTGGTGTAAAGGGGTAACTTATCATATCCTTTGCAGAAACAGATAGGAAACAGAATGGTGCCTGAAAGGAGGTACATGATGCATCTGTCTGCCTTTTTTAGTGCTGGGGATTGAACATAGAACTTCATGCATGCTAGACACATGTTTTAGCACAGGTCTACAGCCCCAGCCCTGTCTTTGTTCTTTATGCTGCTTTTGTGTAAATGAACCACACAAAAAGATTTGAATTTTTAAAAACAGCAGGTTTTATAAAACTTTTGAGTTGGTAATTTAGGGGCATTTGGCAGAATATATGTGAGCTTATTTGGGAGGTGATGGAATGAGGGGCATGGGCTGTTGGAGATAAAAATTCTGTGGTACAAGTCAATAGGCAAGAGCTTGTACAGATAACAGAAGTAAATCTTCACACAGCACTGCTCATTGCTTTCTTGATTGTCTTACTGTATTAACAGCTTATTTTGGATAGTACCATTTACTAATCTAAATAAGGTGGCATCTGATTTTAGAGAACCCAGTACCACACCACTGACTAGGAAAGTATTTCTTTCATCACTGCACATACTGTACATATTAAAATATATTTATTTGTAGACTGCTAAATGATCAGAAACTCATGGATAAATTTCTTAAAGGGTTTGTTCCTATCGTTTGTTCTACCCATGTAGTGCTCCCACAGGATAATGGTGGAGAGGTAGAAAATGTTTTAGAGTAGATAATGGCTTTCATTATACTAGAATTCAACTTTTACATATACTTTCTAACAGAGGGACAGATTATAGATAAATAGACAGAGTAGGTAGAAATTAGCTAAGGTTTAAATATACACCAAGTCCCCAAATGATCACGAACAGTGAACACCTAACTATATCTAGAGATTAATTGGGAAAGATAAAATCACACATTCACACCTTGAATAGCCTACAGTTTATGTTGCCTATTATGCAGGATAGTGGTAGCCATTGGTTTATCACTAAATGGAGAGGAATGCTACCCTTTATTAATTTGGTTAACAGTTTAGCAGGGCCATTGAGATAAGATCAGAAACCTAATTTAACTTGCTGAATGGCCATGAATAAGGAACCTAACTTCTTTGTGCTTCTAGCTACAGTATGCCTGCCTTATTTGTGGATTTATTACATGTGGTTTTGATCAAGTGCAGAAATTATTTAATTTAAAAAACAACAATTTTAAACACCTATGCGTGTATTACACAACTCAGCTGATACAGAGAAGCTCTCAGACAGTCCTGTGATGTGGTCAGTTGTGTGATCTGCTGAGTGTTTCCCTGCCCTTAGCATTGTGACAACATGCCTCCCCTAAAAGTGGTACCCAAAAAGCAATGTAAAAGTTATGGTAATCCTCCCATGCCCGAATGGGCATGTAATGTGCTTAATTTAAGTGATAAAGTGAAAAATTTTTGATTTGTTGAAAGGTATCATGTCTTTAGCGGAAGCAGGGCAGTGCTAGGGGAAAAATGAATCAGGCATCCACAGTACAGCACTGAACTCTGTGCATTCTGAGCATGCATGGCTTTCCTCAATAGTGCTCTCCTTAAAACCAGATACTCACAGACACCTTTCATTTTACTCTTTGTAAAATGAAAGGTAAAGATTAACTGATACTTTAAGGTCCAACTCTAAATTGAAACTGTGGTAAGTGGGTAACAAAGACATTGTGAATTTAGAGTACACAATAACTCACCAACCTATATATTTTATACATCTATGAAAAACATGTTTTTTTAAAAAAGCTCCTCCTCTGTGGGCAATTAACTACTAGGGTTAAATAAGCCATGAGGTGGCATTTAATAGCACATTTCCACTAAATGTCAGACCTCTGGCTCTCACATCTGTTTTGAGTTACTCAAACAGCTGTCTGAAACAGCTGTAGCAACCACAAGCTTCAGCTTTTTTTTTTTTTTGTAACAACAATAGGAACATGGATGGAAGAGTTAAAGTAAAACTATAAAATGATCTAAGACACTAGCCGGGTCTTGGCAGGAACTTCTACGTTAAAAATTAAAAATAAAAATTTGGGGGGGGGGGGGCGGATGATAGTCACCTGGTCAAAGGAAACTAAGATCAGTTAGGTAAGTATTTCTTTTAAACCACTGGATCAGAAAATCAATTTAGTGGTTTGCAACATTTAACTTTTAAATAAATAAAACAGAAACAGTATACGTTATATGCAGTATGGAAGGTATTGCTTCATGAAACTTTTGTTTCTGATCATTGTATGTATATGTGGCTATACACATATATGTGTGGTATATACATAGTATTGGTGTATACATATGTATGTGTGTACGTAAATACATAATTTTATATCTTTACCCCAATCTGTGATGTAAAATGTTTTTCTAATATAGATCAGTCATCCAATCTGGTCAATGATCACCATTCTGAATGTCAAAGATAATTAAATGACCTATCAGAATTCTTGCCATTTGGGAGTCTGTAATTCTGTAATGTTGAGATTCTTAAGAACTTCTGGTTAATGTCAACTTAACACATGTACCAACTGGTAGAATACTTCTACCTACTCAACCCATGTATGTGTATGTATACCATTCTTTGTAAATTAAAAAAAATGCTTTTAGAGTACATCAGCTATTAGCCTACTGTTACAATAAAGTAACTTTTTATCCATTTGAATTAGGGGAGGAAAGGCCTATAACAATACCTAATTTAGCAGGAGGCAGAAAACATAAACAAAACAGCAAGATTATAGAATCACAGACCAGTCAGATCCTCCAACACTTTAGCTAGTCTTTTGTTATGTGTTTGCTCGTTTATTTTTCAAGAATATGAATTAATTTTTTCAGGTCATCAGGGTTTGATTAAGTAAACAGGAACTTAGTCAATGGAACTGGTATCAGACAGTTCCCATGTTTGAGAACTCAAATCAGCACATGGGGGACGGTAAATGTAACCTCAGAGATGCTAACTGCAAATACTACAGTAGAGAAGGTATATTTCTAGTCTTTCAAGAGGCTTCTTCTACACCTACTCTAGCTTCAAAGTCTCTAAAAGGAGAATGCAGAGAGATGGTACAAAGGATTTCACCTTAAAGCTAATTAGGGTGAGTTAGAAATCTAGGTACAAAAAGGAAAGTAAGGGTACCTATGGGGGAGCAGAGTAAGGAGCCTTGTTTTGCCTTTTCCCTACTATATTTAGATGTGGAAGAAACACCCAGAGTACTAACACAGCAACTACCAACTTCCCACAGAGCAGGTGAACAAAACACTAGTTCAAGGTGCTGGGATAAGTCATGTGTCTATGACCTTCAAGGAAAAGCTTGGCGGTGAAGAAATATCCAAGGCCTGAAGTTAACCACTTCTTAACTATCAGGGTGTTTTGGGATTTATTCATGCCAAATATGTTCCTAATCCAGCCCATTCCACCAACCATATTATTTATTGCATTGCAATATGAACTTCTTTGTGTCACCAATGGCCCACAAGTTCCTTGAAGGCAAGGAACTTGCCATTTCTTCTTTGCATCTCTAGTACTTTGTCTGATACATAGCATACACTAGTAAAAGCTGATAGGACAAAGTAATAGGAATAAACATAAAAACGTGATTTCTACCAAGCCTGTGTATAGTCTTTCATGGCTTATAAGCCATGAAATCTAGGAAGAGGAGATCCTAACAGAGTTAGGATAGGGATGGGGATTGGGGTGAGTGGAAGACAGATAAGATTTTTATCTGTTAAAATCAACACATCAGTAGTGCTCAGCAGTGAAAAGATGGCTGGTGAAGACATTTAAAATTAGCTTTCCCCGATGGTTCCTTAGCAACACTCCACCAGAACATGATTGCTTTTAATGTGTACTGTGCAATATTCACTCACACATCAAATAACTAGGAAATGGCCACTGTTAACTGACACTGAATAAAAAGATAGGAAAAACATGATTCAAAACATCCTCCTCATTGCCCTTATGGAGAGGAACAAATAGCCCAGGATTTTTTTTGCCACACTTTCCTCCTAGGTTGCCTGTTAGGGATGCCAGTCACTGGCCACAAAGTCTTGTTTTCTCTCCTTTCCGCTTCTCTAGGCTTTCCTTCTATTTCATCATAGGTGACTGCTACCATTCTGTTTATTGGTTGAAGGGAGATGGGTCAGTGGCTTTGCTTAATGTCAGGACAATAAACCAAAACAAATGCCTCCTAAAACCAACAACAGCTGCAAAATATCTCTTTGGATGAAGCAAGTTATCTGAAGCTCATGCAGGCTGGTGGGAAAATTCTATGGGCTAAAATATTGCTTTTGTATAAGGGACAAAATATTCAGGGTCAAAGTGATGGAGAAAAGAAAAACAATAACACCATTCTTTGCAAAGGCTGTATTCCAATTATGGAAGTGAAAAATAATAACAAACTTATCTGTGAGGATCTATATTTAAATGATGGGGCATAATACAATTTTTAAATACAACTGGCACCAGATTCAAGTCAGAATCTCCTAACCATCACCTACAAGGGATGTTCTATGCCTCATAGTGTCACACAGTAGCCCTATGTCCCTGGCAAAGGTACTATAAGGGCATTAATTTTCCCATCTGTAAAAATGAAATAATTGATCTTATGTAAAAGATAGCCCATCATTAACTCTTCAGACCAATGTGTAAAGCAAAATACTTGATAAACATAAGACAGAATTATTATTTCTAGGAACATCTTAATTTTATGTGCATTTGAATTCAAAGGACTCCAAACCAGAAATTCATACCAAAAATAAAATCTTCTCACCATGGATACAAATCAGCATTCTGTCAGCATATGTTGGCTACTATATGGGCAAAACACATCATTTGGACATGGAAATGAGTGGCCTAATTCCAGTATGTATGAGTCCTAGGTAGCGGAGCTTACCTCTAGAACTAGGGAAGGAGTTGTTGAGTTGCTCCATCACTTCCTCTAACCCTGTGCTTGTGTCCTGGGGAGGACTCAAAAGATCTTCCTCACCTTAGTGAAAGCAAAAACAAATAATGGCAAATTACATTTCAGCAAAAGATAGAGGTACTAGAGAAAAAGACTATGATCACAATTTAAAAGCCATTCAAAATTCATTTTACTTGCTCATAAATAACATGACAAAAAGAAATCCTTGAGCTAGATAATTAGAGGAGAATTCTTTGAAGTGAAGAATTCCATGTGGTAATTTATCTGTGTTATTTTTTTTAGAGAACACTGTTTATTTCGAAGTGAAGATAAAGTTGACAAACCCTCTCTTCTTATGATCCATTAACCAATGTGAAACTTTGCTTTGTAATAAAACAGTAATTATTACACACTTGCAGTATGTCTCCTCAACACAAAAGAATATAAGAAAGTGACAGTTTTAGTTTACTTCATGAAAGTAAAAAGGGAATGGAGACATTGAAATATTTCTTTTCATTCTTTTCTTTGACATTTAACCAAAATTACAAACAAAACTTAACTACCTTTAAAGTCCAGTGTAAGAGAGAGAAATAAAAGTTGTTAATAACTATAGAGAAGCTAAAATATTAGTGTTCTAAGGAGAGTAGATATAGAACAGACTAAGGAGTTATATTCTTTTCATCTTTGTTACTTGTGACTATATTATCACAATATTTGAATGTTTTGTTGAGATGAATATTTTTAATTTTTGAGAATTTATGTAAGAAGAGAATGATGATTTGGGAGTAAAGGCATTGTTTAGGAATGTATGGGCTTCTCTGGAAAAAAGGAGTGTCCTTGTAGATCTTGTGGACCAGTGTTTCTATTTTTTTTCATTGTTGTTATAGAACTATACCTCAAACAACATTCATTGTAAGGGGGAAATTACTTAGGTACAAACAAAATTAGTTTGAATTTTGGAGGTTCTTCAAAATGTATTTTTTATAATAATCTTCTAATAATTAAATAACTTCTTTTCAAGTTCTACTTTTTCAGTACATTGTCACTGACTTTAATCTAACACAAGACGTTGTTTCAGCAAGTCAGCAATAATGAATGTGCTTCAGGACAACCTCAGGTTCACATCTGACTTGGAAATGACCAAGGAGCTAGTGATTAAATGACTTCAGTATTCTTCTTGTTTCCTTTGGTCTATGGCACTTAGATTTTCTCCTAAGATTATAATATCGCATTTATTACTATGTTCTCATCCTTCTTTTTAATTTTATTGATTTTACATTTACTCACATGTGTATACATTGTTTGGGCCACCTCCCCCACCCCCCATCCTTGTTTTTTTAAAGCACAAGCTAAAAGAATCACTGACAATGCTAACCATTAAGACATAATATATTCTGGATGGATGTGAGGCTGCATAACATTGTTACAATGGAGGTTTAAGAAACCAGGATAGATAAGAAGTCTGATTCTGTGAGTCTCATGGTGACATACCATAAGAAACCTGTTTGAAAAGCAATAGCAATAAAAACAGCATGGTTCTGGCACAAAAACAGACATGAAGACCAGTGGAAGAGCATAGAGGACCCAGATATAAATCCACACAGCTATGCCCACCTTATTTTTGACAAAGATGCCAAAAACATATGATGGAGAAAAGACAGCCTCTTCAACAAATGTTGCTGGGAAAAGTGGCTATCTGCAAAAAACTGAAACTAGGTCCATGTTTATTACCCTGTACTGGTATCAACTCAAAATGGATCAAGGACCTTAATATCAGACCTGAAACTCTGAAGTTAGTACAGGAAAGATCAGGGAATACTCTGGAAGCAATAGGTATATGCAAGGACTTCCTCAATAGAATCCCAGCAGCTCAGCACTAAGAGAAAGGGTGGACAAATGGGACTTCATAAAATTAAAAAGCTTCTGCACAACAAAGGAAATGGTCTCTAAACTGAAGAGACCACCCACGGAGTGGGAGAAGATATTCACTAGCTATACATCAGACAAAGGACCGGTAACCAGAATATACAGGGAGCTCAAAATACTAAACTCCCCCAAAATCAATGAACCAATATGCTCATCATCTCTGCCTATAAAGGAAATGGAAATCAAAACCACACTAAGATTCCACCTCATCCCTGTTAGAATAGCCATCATCAAAAACACCAACAACAGGTGTTGGCAAGGATGTGGGGAAAAAGGAACCCTTGTACATTGCTGGTGGAATGCAAGCTAGTGCAACCACTCTGGAAAACAATATGGAGGCTTCTTAAAAATCTAAACATAGATCTGCCATATGATCCAGCAATCCCACTCCTGGAGATATACCCAAAGGAATGTGACTCAGGTTACTCCAGAGGCAACTGCAGACCCATGTTTATTGTAGCACTATTCACAAAAGCCAAGTTATGGAAACAGTCAAGATGCTCCACTACTGACGAATGGGTTAAGAAAATGTGGTACTTACAAATAATGGAATTTTACTCAGCCATGAAGAAGAATGAAATGTTATCATTTGCAGGTAAATGGATGGAACTGGAGAACATCATCCTGAGCGACGTTAGCCAGGCTCAGAAGACCAAAAATCGTATGTTCTCCCTCATATGTGGACTTTAGATCTAGGGCAAATGCAGCAATGTGATTGGACCTGGGTCACATGCTAAGGGGAGAGCACATACAGGAGGGAATGGGGATAGGTAGGAAACCCAAAACTTGAAAGTGTTTGATGTTCCCACTGCAGAAGAGCTAATACAGTAACCTTAAAATGACAGAGGTCAATATGGGAAGGTGACCGGGAAGTAGTGAAGAGGTCAGGTAGAGATGAATCAATTCAGGTTGTAATACACTTGTGCATGGAAGCAATGCTAGGAATCTCTCTGTATAGCTATCCTTACCTCAACTAGGAAAAACGCTTTGTCTTTCTTATTATTGCTTACGTCTCCTCTTCAACAAAATTAGAAAAAAGGGTAGAACAGGTTCTGCCTGGAAGCTAGTGGGGGAAGGGGGAGTGGGAGGGGGCGGGGAGGGGGAGAAATGGCCCAAACAATGTATGCATATATGAATATATGAATTAAAAAAAAGAAACCTGTTTGAAATACTAAATACATAAATACAGGAAGAGTAGTGGAGAATTAAAGTCACAAAGCAGAAAAGAGCCAGTCTCTCTCTCATCTTTTTACACACATAATTTAAGTTCATGCCTTTAGAGAAGAAAAAAATGATATTCAGGATTTTTAGTTTCTTTTGCAGTTTTTAAACAACCACTCTCTGGCAAAGATGGTATGAATGAAATACTACCAGAAGGAACAGTATCCTGACAACTGCAGGGCCAATTACATCTCTTTGTTCCATTACTGATGCAAATTTTTGTTGAATTGGGAAACATGAGGCATTTTTAATGGCAGCAAGTCTACTTTAGTGACAGTATGTCTTACAGAATAAATCAGAGCCAACAGACAGTCCTGAGCATTGATATTAAAATTTCTGACAGTTTAATTACATCATACTGGAGCTTTAGGAACTCAACTGTATTGTATTAAGATTCAGATACAGTTATGTAATTGGCATTCCTATCCCAGAATGATTTCAAGGATCAAATTATAAAGTATAAAGCTAATAATATCAGCTAAATTCATCTTTATGATAAACTATCATCTGCAAGTCTCAAATAGGGGAATCTAAGTAAAGATGTAAAACTGGTTTATTTTAATGGGAAAAAATTCTTTTTTTGACAGTACTAGGGTTTTGAACTCAGGGCCTTATACTTCCACTATATGCTTTAGTTATTTTACAGATAGAGCCCTGTGTTTTTTGCCTAGATGGTCCTCAGACAGTTATCCTCCTATGTCTCCTGAGTAGCTGGGATTATAGGTCACCGCACCTGGCATCTCACTAACTTGTTCTGCCCTAATGGAAAACTTTCATGGCAGTGATGACTGTATCCATTCAAACATTTTTAGGGGTACTTGGGTTTGAACTCAGGGCTAAGCATGTGTTCTACCACTCAGCTACCCCCTGAGGCCCCATTCAAATATTTTTTGAGCACCTAATACATCCTAGGTAGTACATAAACAATATAATTGTTTTCTTCTTTTCTCAATAGTCTCTAGATTTCTCAAGATGAACTTTAACTCATCTCTTTTTAAGAACCTGAAACCAGATTTATACATATATGCCTGAAGCAGAAGTGAATCAATTGACTGAAAATGCTTAATGCCTAATATTTTCCATGTCAGATTATACTGGAAACATAAGAATAGTACATGAAACCTGAATTTAAAGTAATCCACTGTAACTATTAGATACTAGGCCAGGTTTTCTTTATGGCCTTTAAAAAAACATAAAATTTAAAACAGTAAAGATTGATTTATTTATTAAAAAAATAATCAAAGGCTGGCGATGTGGCTCAAAGTGGTAGAGTGCCTTCCTAGCAAGGATGAGGCCCTGAGTTCAAACTCCAGTACCACCCAAAAAAAAAAAAAAAACCAAAAAAAAAATAATAATCAAAAGCCAAGATGCTGGAGGTACAAAAATAAATGACCAAAAGACCCTGTTTCCATGAAACTCACATTCCTTATGGAGACACACATGCTAATAATAAAATAAACAAGTACATTATATATGTATGATATAGGTGGCAATAAATACTCTGAGGTCAAACAGGGATAATGAGGAGAATCTTCAGAAATGGCAGACTTGGAAAGCCTCATTGCTGAGATGCAGCTGAGCAAAAACTTTAAGCCAGTTGAATGTGCGAGCCATGCAAGTATTAAGGGAGAGTACACCAGACAGCAAATGCAAAGACCTTGAGAGAGGAGTCTGATTGGTTTTGCTTAAGTACGCAAGAAGGCCAGTACAGACACAGTGACCAAGGGTTAGAAGGAGCATAATTTCTTGGTCAGGAACTTTGTCTTGGTCATGTGACCTACTATGGCCATTAAAATGTTAGCAGATGTGACATAAGTAAAGGCTTATAAGGTCCTTGAGTTGTTGAGCTTGCCTTCTTATGCTCATGAGAAGCATATGGTTCATACAATCTGCTGGCACGTGGATGATGAAACATGTGGTAACAGTCCTGAGCCCAACCTACAACCAGGAGTAAGCCCAGATGAGCTCCTGTAAAAATTTCAGGCAACTAA